TGGGTAGCTTAAATTTAAATTTTAAACAGATTTTGAAGAAAATTCCAATTACAAGGTGGAGGAGTATCTGTAACATCTGTCAGCAAATCAATTGAAAATGACATTATGTAATCCTTTTTGTGTTTACCAAACTTGGTTCTTCAATTACTTTATGTACATGGATGTGGTAAAAACAAGTAAACTCGCTTGCTGAAGCTTCTACTTATGGCCATTTGCCAACACAGGGTTGAAATTTAGACATTTCACTTCCATATCAGCTGGCTAATCAACTGACAAACATGGTTTAATTAGACACGCAGAGTAAGTATTCAAGTGGCTGAGCACAGCCTGGAAAGGAATTTACTTTGAGGTAGCAGATGATGGGCCAAAAATCTGTTCATCCTCTCTGTAGCATTAACAAGATGGAGCAAGGGGTGGGAATGTAGTTTTCATTCAGCCTTAGGTTGTTTTTGCCGGAGTCAAGTAAAAAATTGCTCAAGAAGGTTGGGTAGCTGCTTGAAGTTTATGAATATAATGCATGGAACATCACTGATGGGACACTTTTTCTTATTAGATTTTGGGCAAAAGATGATTCTTTTGACATCCTGAAAGTTCTAGAAAATCTGATGTGACCATAAAGCACCACTTAAAAATTTCTGGTCTGAGTCCAACTTTGGCTTTAGAAAGTAGTTCCTCCAGAGGTTTGATTCTGTGGAATACCTGATATTCAGGATTTGGGGGAAAAAATATCCAACACTTTGGTTTGGTAATTGAACTGACAATGATATGTTGTTCAGAAGAGTAAAAATGCGGATTGAAATCTTTGTGGCAGGTAAGTTCCTTACAGCCTCATAAATACACAGTGCACTGGTGCAAATAGTTTTTGCACGTCTGATGATCAGATCTTATGTCTGACCAACTGTGTGTTTCTGCACTTGTTGTGCAGAATTGAATTGAATGAACTGCAGGATTTCTCAGTTTTAACCCGTTTATTTCACTACAAATTTCTTATATAGTGCTAAAGAAGCTCAGTCTGTTAAGTGTTGGTAAAAATGTAACTATGAAGGAAACTCAGTCATATGTAGGACCATTCAAAGTGATTATAATCACTGGGATCTATGAAAAACTAGTTGCCAAAAATAGAAATTGGACAAATAAGTCTTAATTATTCAAAAAATTAAACTTAAAATTATCATTTTCTAAGGGCTCTAGTCAGTCCCATATCATATCTTGAAGTCATCAGATGTTACCTTTCTAAAACTGTCACTGTAGCTTCAATACAGAAGATGTTGGATAAAATTTTGTTGTACACTTTTTAAACAGAATGGTCCGTACTGGTCCATTGTTCATTTTATAGCTGTTACTGTGGAGCTGGATCCAGGATGTGTTACTTATCAAGGATCTGCTTATTTTAAATTGTTTATGCAGTTTCTTCCTCAGCCAGACTGCCAATTCCAGCTCCAGTGCTGACAGAGTTACAGCTTTAGTAGAAGACATTTTCTTCTGTAGTGCAGGTGCTTGCTAATTCACATACAAAGTTTCTACAAGGTATCCAGTAAAAAAAAAAAGCTTATCCAAGATCTCCCTGGAATTATTTGGTGTTCTTCCATGTAGTTTCAGTTGGTAATATTTTCTACTTCCTCGCTTCCATGAGAAGAGGCAAAAAAAAAAAATGGGAGAAATCCCAGCATGCATTCTGCATAGACCCTGTGCACTACTCGTGTGTTCACAGGGTTGTCTTCCCGCTTTTAGAACGGTCAGCTGGGTTTTTTTTCTGACCTTTGTGCGCAAATCATTACTGCCTCTCTTAATTTTTTCTTTTTTTAGCACAGTGGTTAGCTGTTTTGGCAGTTGTGAGCAAAGGCAGAGATACTCCTTTGTGTTTCTGGTTGCAGGCTCTGTTTCACCACACAGTTTCTTAAAAGAATTTGCAAGCTCTTAACTACAAACCAAGCACAGATCTGTGGGGTCCTGCAGCCTGCAGTCAAACAAACCACCAACAGACAGATGCATTCCTCTGCTTTCACCCTCTAATTAAACCAGTTGCATCTGGATAGTTCCAGCTGTGCAGAGCTAGGAAAAATGTCATCGGAAACAGTGTAACGTCTGGCAAATTCCAACATACTCCAGAAAATGGATTTTTGAAACTCGACAGCAAATGCAAATATGACCTTGAATTCTAGTGGTTGCTTTGGATTTTAGAAGTTTGTAAGAGGGATGTGTGTGGGTGAGGATTTATGTATGGAAACTATCTTTGCAACCATATGTGCAAAATGTAAAACGCTATAAAGTTTTGCAAGAAGGGGGCATTAATGGCTTTCTTTCATAGAAGGTGGCAGTTGGAAAAGTTACAATGTTGTTATCTCAACTGAAGTTGCAACTTGTATAGTTTTACATTTTCTTTTTTTTTTTCTTTCCTCAACGCTGTCTAACCTGTTTTAGTGTCTTGCATGATATTATTTCCACAGATCTGTCCATTTTAATCAGAACTGTTGGAATAACTTTATATTCTTCATTCTCTTCTGTGATTATTTGGCCATTAAGTCAAAGGGGAAGTTACTCAGATAGCTAATCTTAAAGCCATCAGTCCTGTCAGATTTGAAGACAGCCCTATAAACTTTAATTACTTCCTCTTTCAACATTTCAACTTCAGTGTTGAAGTCATTTCAAAGAGCCTGAAACTAAGCTCACTGTCAGTGTATTTCCCCATCTTTCAGTTTAGTCTTTCTTAAGAATGGCTTCTTTGTGACTAAAGTTTCTTTGCTAAAAAAGGATCACTTTCTCTTTGGCCACATTTTCTAAAGCTTTCTTCCCATCCTATGTCAAGGATATGTTTATTCGCAGTGTTAATGAAAGTAACTAGCAGTCACTGGAGTTCTGCGCTAGTCAGGCAAGTAATACTTCCACTTCTTACTGTATACTGTGTGTTTTCACTGCATACTCCACCTCTACTGTCTAACTTCTTTTCATGTAGCTGTAGCCCAGTGGAAGCCTAAAACTTCATTTTTGCTCCTGCAATGATTGTATACAAATAATAAGATTCTTTATGGTTAAATATATGGAATTTTATGTTAACTGTAAAGTGATAGCTAGTGGCTACTTCACCTGGTCAGAAACAGTAGTGCAGCCAGTTAAATCACCTAAGTGGACTATTCAGGGGCACACAGATTGATCCAAGTTTGCTGGCATCTAAAGACGCCCAAAACCCCTGCGCCACTGGGCTTAATGGGCTGTTTGAAATATAGCAAGTGACAATGCAGCAAGTGTTTAGTTAAGGTGGAGTTTTTTTGTTTGTTTGTGGGTTTTTTGGCAACTCCAATAGATAGGTGGGTGAAACAGGCATCTTTAATGAAAGAGGAAATACAGGAGGTGCTGCAACTTTAAAAAAAATCAGATTTTGTGCTATTTCTTAATGTTCCGTGTATAGAATAAAATATATTTCATTTTACACTTTCCCTCCTCCCTTCAAGTAGTTGTAGTTCAGTGCTTACTTCGTCCCTCACTTGAATTAACTTTAGATTTCTTGTTGCTTAGAGTTGGCTTAAAGGACTTTATAATGCTGTGCAAAAGAATTTTGTCTTATATTCACATTAAAAGGTACTCTTGCACAACTAAATCCAAACATCTGGTTTTGAATCTGACAAAAAACCCCTTCCAAATGCTTGGTTTTCTTTTCCTCCCAGCAGATTAAAAATGTGGTAGCACTGGGATTATTTAAAACTAGGGAATCAAGTTTCAGTGGATTAAAATACTGAATATATTACTCTCTACACTGTTCTCAATACTTATCAATTCACAAATCTAAACACTGTCAGGGTTCTAAGCGAGTGATTGTAGTCAAATTTTAGAGGAGTAATTTGCTTTTAATGATGTTTGCAAATACTCATAATGTCTTGATTGCTGTGCCTTTTTTATATGGGAGGTGGGGGCAGTAGGCAAGACAACATTTTGGAAATAAGAAACTCTGTGAAACAGAGCATGACTGAAAGAACAGAAAAAGGGATGTAAGCATACTTATTTAGGTTTGTTGAATATCTCTGTGTCTAAGCAATAGTTTGAGCGTTCATAAATCTGAGCTGGTTACCAAGAGACTTGTAAGAAGACCGTGTACTGATCCTGTAAGGATGCACGCACTGGGAGAATTATGCTTGGCTGGCAGTGTACAGATAAGCAAAATGCTTACATTGGTAACAGTTGTTTGATTCCTAGATTGATCAGTCGGTGAGGAATGCAGATGAGTTTTTTAAGGAAGTTAGGGTAAATTCTTTTATATAAAAGTTACTTCATTAGTATTTTAACCTGAAAGAGGAGGAGGGGACAACCACAATTACATCACACCACAGCTAAATATTTTTCTCCCTATCCATTTATTGATCAATTCTTAGAGATTAAATTGCTGCAGATTTGGTGGGGAAAAAAAGTACATCTTTGTATTTTTCTCCATATAGCTTTCTCTCTGTTTTTACATACACATAAATAATATTTTCAGTAAATATTATCTTAAAAAATTTTGATCTCATACTGTGAAAACATTAAAACATTAATGGATCATATTTGGAGATTACTTTGCTGTCTCCGTATTTGTATGAATTACATTAAATTGTGGCTTATTAGATAAACCATAGTATTTTTAAAGAGTATTAAAAAATATTTTTGCAAATTTACCATTCAGGAGTGCAACCTGAAATAACTGCCTTTATCTCAAAAGAGGACTGGGAGGTTTAACCAAGTTAGATACAGTGTCTGTATTGTCAGTGATTTACTGTTTATGTGGTAGCCTAAAGGCAAATTCACTTTTTGTATATACAATTTTTAAAAACCCTGTGTAATAAAGAGTCCTTTGAGCGCAACTCTTGACTTCTAGCAGAGTGGAAATTGCATATAAAATGCATGGCCTCTCAATTTTTTTGTTTGTTTAAACCTTCCCCTACTTAGAGTTAATTGCTGAAGGCATCTCAGTGTCTCTCTCACTAGAAGCTGAGCTTAGTGAAGGCCATTTTTCTCCCCATTCTTTCATGCAGGTCAGCACACAGAATATGAAGATGGGTGGGCTGCCTCGCACAACACCCCCCACCCAGAAGCCACCAAGTCCACCGATGTCGGGAAAAGGAACTATTGGGTGAGTGCAGTTACCAAATGTGTAAACGGCTTTGGTGAACAGAAGGGAAAAAAGGGAAGATTCTTTCTTTTTCTGTAGCTGGGGGTTTTTTTTGGATTTTTTTTGGTTTGTTTTAATCATTCACAAAGGTCAGGAGTGTTATATCTGCATCCTCTTATACTGATCATGTCTTATATATCAGTTGGCACATTTCTGCCAGGAGACAGTGGGCATCATCAGCTTTTCCCAACAGGAACCTTTTTATCATTGAGGAACACTTAGAACTACATGCTTTAGAGTAAAAAGTCATTAAATGTGGGGCTTTGACAGGTGGTGCTAAACAACTGGAAAATTAGTATGTGGCACTGTTCATTAATTACTTGTGTGATGAGTGACAGAAGTACTTTCCTATTAAGTCTATGAACTTGACTTTGAGCAAAGGAAAATGTGTTATAACTGGGATGAATGCTGTTTGTTGGTATGTGATTATGTATATACATACAGAACGTGGTGCTTTATTTTAAAACAAGGTATGGATTACTTTTAAAACAAGAATGGGATGTGCAACGCAGTTTATGAATAGGAAGAACATTGGAGATTGAAGTACATCCTTAATTGTTTTTTTCTCATCCTATGAAGTATTGATACTGCAAACATAGAAAAACTTTTTTTTTTTTTTTTTAGCTCCTGTTACTGATTAGTATGTAGCTGTCTTTTAAAGAATGAAAAATCCCTGTTTTTTTCTGTACTATCTTAATTTGCTTCTGAAACGCGCTTGTCCTTGTGTAGGCGTCACTCTCCCTATCGTACGTTGGAGCCAGTACGTCCTCCAGTGGTACCAAATGACTACGTGCCTAGCCCAACGCGCAATATGGCTCCCTCACAACAGAGCCCTGTTAGAACAGCTTCTGTGAATCAGAGGAATCGCACATACAGGTATTCAATGTGGCCCTGCACAAAGTGTGGTTAGCGTTGTATAAGCATATGGACAAAAAATGCTACAATAAATATCAAATCCATTTGCACTTCTACAGTGAATTCATGGTATGGACTGGGGATGTCATCTGGCATGACAAGAATGCACTCTAATGAAACTAGAATAGTGGATCATGTTAAGATTGTTCACTTAATCCCCTAGACACCTTAGTTTTAGTGCTATCACTTAGTTACAGTACTTAATGAATTACTAAAATTGTGAAGTCTTCAAGTAGGTAGATCATGATACTATTTTACAAAATGCATACAAAACTGGGAAAAGACTTTGTACACCACTTGAATTCTACATGTTGAAGGACTGCATAGTATGCTTATAGTTCACATTTTTGTTTGAAGAGTCTTTGATGTTTATAGACTGAGAAACTGAAAAAGAGCATGGTATTTTGAGGGTACTGATAACTTCAAACACAGAATAAAGCTGAACTGTATTACCAAAGGTTCTGCAGAAGGCTAGCCTTTTCTCTAGGATAATAAGAGTTTCGTGATGTGACAGGTCTAAATACTTCTCTTGAAACCTTTACTTTTTAAACATCATAAGTAGTTTAGTACTAAATAGATAGACTTAAAATATAAGAAAATGTGACTTTTACTTTGCTGTCTTACAATTTCCAGATTTCAGTAGTTTCATATGAAGCATATAAGTCAGAATCTAAACAGCCTATGCATTTTATAAGTTACAGGAAAAAGGCCTGTATTTGCTCAGTAGGGGTTTAACAACATCGCAATGATGTGCTTTGGAACAAGGTTCCAGAGGTGTTTCATTCTTAGGCAAGTTCACTGAGGCTAACTGAAAACCTATTGTGTTGTAGTCAAGGTGAAGAGTTTTAGGAAAACTAAACTTTGTATAGGTTTATATCATCCTTGTTTCTTTTCTCTTATTCCCTGTTACTTCCCTGAATTAGTAAGGTGCTATATGAGGGATCTTATGGTTCAGCATGCACAGCAGCATATTCATACCCTGGGTTATTTTGGTTTCTTACAGCAGCAGTGGGAGTAGTGGAGGAAGCCACCCAAGCAGTCGGAGCAGCAGTCGAGAGAACAGTGGAAGTGGAAGTGTGGGTGTTCCTATTGCTGTTCCCACACCATCTCCTCCCAGTGTCTATCCAGGTAAATGGGAACTTGCTGTTCGTCTTTCTCACTCAGCATTAACCTTTAGCATTTGCAAGTCTCCTAAGCACAATGTTGAGTAAACCCCAAGAGAAGTCTCAAAAGTTCATTATCCAGAAACATGCAAGCCTTGAAAATTGCTTGCTATTGATACTATGAGTTTGAATCAAGTAGTATCTTTTCTGGGAGTGTCTGATGTGCTCTAATGCTTCTTTCATACTTCAGTTTGTTTATCAGAATTTTTTGCCTGGCTGCCTGCATGTGACTAGGTAGGACACAACACCTTTTTCAGTGGGCTGGGGGGAACTTCTCTCTTGTCCTTTTAAGCAAATAAATGCTTTTTCATTGGCTGTTCATGCAGATATATAGAAACATGCTTTTAGAAAATTAGATGAAATGAGAGGCAGGTACAGAGTAAATCTTTAATACATTAATGTAAGCCTAACTGACTTGTCACAAAAAGATACTTGTTCAATGTAATTGGCCCAGCCTTTCCAGAATTAGGAAGTGGTATTCGTAGTCCTTTTTCCTTTGCTCAGTCCTTTCAGTGAAGAAGAGCATATAGTTGGCCTGTAGTGTGATCTGAAATACATGATGCTTCTGAACCAAACAACTGGAAATTTTTGGCTTTCTCTTCTGTGTATTTTCTAATTTGTACAGAAGCTAAAGGCAGCCATGCTATAGTTCGAAGCATAAAGAACAAGGTGTAAAGACATCTTTCAAAGTTAATGGCTTTCAGTGAAACATTCTTGGTTGTTCCCTTCAGACCTAGAAAAAAGAGGTGGATTTGCTTTGGCCCTCATTTACTGTCTACATAGGAATGAGCCTTTCTTAACAGCTCCATTTTTCTCTCATCTCCTGTGCATCTAATAAGTAGCTAACACTGAATAGTCAAAGGCTTTCTCTAATCCTTGCTAACATATCTCCTTATTAACTCCACCTCTTCCTCCTCTCTTCACTTAGCCCCTGCTGGCTCGGCTGGCACTTCTCCCCCCCTCCTCCCCCTGCCCCTCCCCCCGCTGCCCCAGATGCTGCTGCTGCTGCTGCGGGAGCTCAGCCCCTTGCTGATGGCTTCACCTCTCCAACTCCCCCTGCTGTTTCTTCCACACCCTCTACAGGTGAGTGTCTGCTCCAGCTGGTGGGCAGATGAACCCAGATGTGATCACCATCCAAGGCTTTTCAAAGTTACTTCAGAAGCAGTGTGCTTTTTTAATTTTTTTTTTTTAAATATAACTAGAAAATTACTGCTAATACCCAACTATAAGGTAGTGGTTATAGTAGAAAATTCAAGGTGTAGTAGTTTTATAACCAGCAAACATTTAATTTTATAATTTTATTATTTTTACGTTTATATCATTATTTATTACATTATCATTTTATTGCAGTTTGAATACTGAGAACCTCATAGAATAATAATGTATCAGGGGAACCAGCACTGGTAGTTCTGGGTCTGATTATTCTCTTTCAGTAATGGAATGGAATGGAAAAAGTGCATCTAGCATGGTATAATTTATATGACTTGTCTCTTCAATGCTTTCAAATGTCAAGTCTCCTTTCAATGAAATTATAAAAAGGGCATTTTTTTTTGTGTTCAATATCAAGTAAAATACAAGTTTTTGTTATGCAGATTAGTACTAAAGCATTTTGTTTTAATAAGTGGTTCTTGTGGCGTGTATTGCAACTTGCTTTTTTTAATGTGTATGAAATCACCCTACATATTTAGTTTTCTCACATGCAGAACTTGCAGCATGTAGTCCTTACTAACCATAACACTGTTCTGTATCAGCTTTTGATAAGAAGTTACACCTGCATTGTAAAGATCTCCTTTGGACAGCCAAATTCATAGATAGCCCCCTATGTCCTTCATTACTTTTCAGTATAGTAGAGGCTGATCACAATGGTGTGAATTGGTTTGTGTGTTTATTAGTGTTGGTCTGTCTTAGTAAGAATTTCACCAGGTGCCAGAAGCATTCTTGAAATCGTATTTAGTTTAAGCTTCTGAACTGTGATGAACTTTGGTATCAGAAGATGATCCTGATGTCTAAACTTCTTTCATGTTTAGAAGATCAGCTGTGTCATATGGGACCTCAATCAGTTTTCCATTTTTGATGCACTGTCAGTGTCCCAGTGCCGTATTGCTTCTGTACTTTTGACAAGTCAAAATCAAGCAGAGATTAATATTTTAATGGCTATAAATCCACATTCACAATTCCATAGGAGAAATTTCAGGTTACGTACTGTTGTTAGGAACTTTTGTTTCCCTGTGCTACTAGTGAGGTTGCTTGCATGGCTTCTCTGAAATAAAGTATTTGAAGAGACTGGATAGTTTACCGTTTATAAGGTTGTAGGTTTTGGTCCTCAAGGATCTCTTACGCCTGTTTCTTCTCTCCTCACTTTTCTCCAATCACCACCAATTTCTACCAGTGCATTAAGTAACAGGGAGACAGACACATTGAAAAAGACGCCTTAGGAAAAATGTGAAAAAGCCTATATGCTAGCTGGATTGCTTCTTAACTTCTATAAAAAGTGCATTTTTGAGACATATGTATCTGTACAAAGCAGGAGGCATGTTGAATCTCTAGTTCATGCATTTGCTCTTAGAAGCAAGTAACACAGCAAGCAACTTGCATTTTATTTACCAACCTAGAGTGAAGTTTTGCAAAGCAATCAAAACACAGTGGAGAACAATGCAGGTTTTTAAAAAATTGCACATTCATTTGTTCTGTTTCCCCATTTACTTCCCTACATGCATGCCTCCTCAACCACAGTGACCATCTCTTCTTCCCTTGTTTTCTTGCAAACTCTGAAATTTACCCCTAGCACAAATGGTGGAGGCAGAATAGGTAGGGAGGGTAATTACCCATATGGGTATAACAAATCCAGTTTACTGTTTACTGTTACATACAGTATGTAAGCCAGAGAACTTTATGTGAGCACAGAAGATAGCTTAATGGTCTTACTTCATTTATTGCTTGCTTACATTGAGGGTCAATTACTTTGATACAGGAAATGATTAAAATGGAGAGCAAGTTTTTAAGGAGTTGTTTCAGTCGACAGCTTCCTGAAAGAGGGTCTTTGAGTATGATGTCATTTATTCCATCCTTCAAGCAGTTTCCAACATTCTCTTCTCCTCAGATGATTCTCTGCGTATTTCCTGAACGGCAGTAAGATAGTTAGTATTGTGGTTTTCAGTTGTAGAAGATAACAGCTCTGAATGTTGGAAACGGCATACAGTTGGTTTGTACATGTATGTTGCTTAATAGCTGGACTGTGAAGGGTTATTTTTTTGCAGGTTTATAAATAACTAAATTTGCAAGAAGTTACCATAATACATTATATAAAATGGATAACTAGGAATTATTTTCTTTCATTTGGAAACTTTGTAGCTTAGTCGCCTTTGTATTTTCATACTGGCTTTTCTGAACAGTGCTGAGCACAGGCAGTTGGGAGAGTTGTTTTTTGTGTTGCTATTGAGAAGTTCAGTGTCCTGCCAGTCTGGCAGCTGAACTGGCTAACTGCTCCCAGGATGGTGACTGTCTAAAAAAAAAAACAACCTTTCCAAGCCTTTGAATCTTGAATGCAGATATAGAAAAGGCAGGCATCATTCTTCTCTTTGCTAATGCATTTCTCTTTCTAACCTAGGTCACCCAGTTCAGTTCTACAGCATGAACAGGCCTGCATCTCGACACACGCCCCCAACAATAGGGGGATCTTTGCCATATCGGCGTCCTCCTTCAATCACGTCACAGCCAAGCCTTCAGAACCAGATGAACGGAGGACCGTTTTATAACCAGAACCCAGGTAATAAAGTTTTTATGCTCTGTTGAATTCAACACAGTGGTGAATGGAGTGGCCTTCAGATGAAATCTGATGTTCTGTCTCATTGCAGATCTTGTGGTTAGTCTCAGGTAATGTCCAGTATGTTGCTGGGTAGCAATGCCAAAGCTGCAGTCCAAGTACCGCTGTGTTCAGCTTCTGTTATGGCGAGCAGCTTAGAACAATACTGGGTTTGCTGCCAAATAAATTACTTTTGATCTCACAGTCCCTCTTAGACAAGCTTTAGTCCTTTACTACACCATGTGTCACGTATCTGCTTTGGTGTGGGATGGGTATTTGATTTTGCACCAGAACACTGATTCTTCATTAATCAGTCTTCTATCTTGTATTCTCTTCCTTCTGATTAATGGACAGTTCAAGAAATTGCACTTGTTATACAAGGGTGAGCATTAGACACCTTAGAGACATCACTGGTGTTTGGTATGGGATGTGAAGGAGCTGTGTCATCTGCCAAGTCCACAGGTGATGTTATTTTAATGGGCAACTTGTCTTAAAAAGCCGGATGAGATACTAACAAGGAGTGGCATGTCCTGTGTCAGGGAGAATGCAGTAGCTTTTCATCTAAGGAGTCCTTTTCCCTGTGTGTCTGATGTGACATTGAAGGTTTTGATACCAGAGTAGGGGAGACTTTCTTTTTTGACAAAGCTACAGAAAGGTGCAGGAGACATCCTGAAGGTTCCTCGTTAGGAAATGCCCTGTTACCAGCAAGATTGAATGTTGGCATGCAAGCACTACAGTGCGTTTGTGTTTTGTTGTGATGGTGGGGATGGGTTTTGGTGGTTGGTTTGTTTGTTTGTTTTAAATTGAGCACTGAACTTGGAATTAGGTCAAATGCTGCAATCTGCATTTGAGGGATTTGATTGGGTTCAAATATTACTGCTTGTGAGCTACTCTGCCAAGAGATGTGTGTGCTTAACTTGAGAGGGAAATGGATGGTCCTGCTGAGGACAGGGAGAGTGGAGGAGGTTATATGACTAAACTTCAGCCCAGTTGCCTGAAATATGTGGTATTTGTTAAGCACATTGTGTACATATTGAAGGCTGCAGGCGCAAGAAGGAAAGGGTAATAGCAATAAAAGAAACCTTTCAGGATTACCTTTGCAGTAAAGAGGATTTTCAGTATGTCCAAAGAGTTTCTGACAACTGCTGTGCATTTCTGCTTTAGCAGAGAGGTAATTCTCTGCAAGCCACTATTGCGTTGTTAATAGGTAATCATAGAAGATGCCAAATAGACTTTAAATAAGTTACATAACCACAATTTACTCTGCTTACCCAAAAAGAAGATAATGATTATGATGATTAGTCACTTGAGCTGTACATCACAAAATACTTCAATTATACTGGTGTACTTGATACAACATAAATAAGCAGTTGTAGTAAGAGACTTTTTTTGTATACCTAGCAGAATACAGAATTTATTAGCTTTCCAGTTACACTAAACCAAGGGGTTTTGGCCTGTACCTTGAAAGGAAAGAATGGTCAAGCATGCATAATTGGTGAAGACCCTAAGAACAGAGGGACTGTTGTGTCTGTAAGGAGCAGGATTAGTAGCAACAAGATGGGGGCCACGATTGCTTCTCAGCATTCCTGAAGAGAGGGAGAAAATGCAAACTTAAGAGGTGAAAAAGAGACCTTACAACAGGCAGAGGAGTGTGCCAGCTGCGGCTTGTTCTTCTTTGCAGGCTGTTTTTGGCAACAAAGCAGTACTGTTTTTCCACTTCCATTTTTTAGTACGTTGGCATAGTCATTTCTGTTTATTCACTTCACAGGAGAATGAAAGATACTTGCCCTTGCCCTGTTCTTTTGAATGCCATTTCTAAGACAATATAGTTTCTCTGCTTCATGGTGAGACCTTTTTAGCAACTGAAAATATTAAGAAATGCAGACCCTAAATGAACTCAGCATATGTCTGTCCCAAAGCTACTCTTGCCAGCCATGCCACCTAACAAATGTTTTAACTTTGCAACCTCAGATTCCAGTGTCTAAGTAGCATATAGCTCAGCAGAGGCTGAAAACCCTGTGGGAGAAACTGGGCAAGGACTGAGGTGGTGGTCTGTACTACGTGTTATTTGTATAGCTGAATTCTTACCAGGCTGAAGGAACCTAGTGGAAGGTGCTCTTGAGCATTTCTGAATTAATTTACAGCAACTGTGTAGATGAACTCTTAAATCTACCAGTGGCCTGTATGGAAGGAGGCTGGGAGGGGACGTTTAAGCTGGTGTTTGTCTCATCTTTTGAGACACCAGAGGTACAGTAAAGTTCTTCTGATGCTCTTTGTAAACAAAGTCATTATTAATAAAATATTTATTGTATTGTCTCCTAAAGATCAAAACTAGCTTAGAGCCATTATATATCATATAGAGACAATATAATAAGATAGTCCCTGCACTGTGCATAGGCTGAAGCACAAACCAAACGGTTAAGATACACAAGGAATGATGTCAGCTTGTGTTAGCGTCACAATTTTGGTTAAACTACACGACCCAAACTGAACTAAGGGATTTTTTTTTGTTTGCTTGGTGTCCTTGTCTAAAGTGATTTATTTTTCTATGTGGAAAGCCTCGTTATTTCTTTCAAAGAAATACATATAGCACACAAACAAAGCACACTGAAGGGACCTATGAAACTGAAGCTAATCTCATATGATAGATATGAATTGTGTGAACCTATATAGCGTTGAATAGAGGAAACATTTTGAAACTGAATGTTTTTATAGCATATATAATTAAAAAGGGAGGGACTTCATAGTTGTACGTTACTGCTGAATTCATGAATATTGCTGCATTTCAGTAGGACTTCAAATCCAAGTTCCCTTTTCCTGCTTTGAAAAAACCAAAACTTTTTCCAGCTAACTGTGGTTACACTTGAAGGAATAAGTACTCTCAGAGGTCATGTCATTAAAGTCAAAGGAGCTGTAATTAGAAATGTATTTAATTTTTTCTCAAATACTAATTAAATGATGAGATAATGGAGCTTGCTTTATATGGAGGTACAAAGATATTTTTGCGACAAAAAGGGTGGTTGCTCTGTTGGGTTTTTTGTTTGGGGTGTGTGCTTGTGAAAGGGATGTGAATGTGAGTGACAGAAGAAATTCAAAGCACTTCAGATAATAGTTATTGAAATAAGCAAACAGAAGAAATTTTGAGACACGAATTATAAATGCCCTGGGGTTCTTTTCATTTGCTATGATGATGTGCATTAATCCTGAAAAACACTACATCATACTTGGCAGTTTTCTTACTGGCTCTGGATGTAGTCTGAAATTTATTTAGTTCTGTTCTGCAAACTAAATAAATGTAGTGGTACATGAAGTGTAGACCTTTTTCCCTCATTCTTTTGGACATGACTAAATGTTTTTGTATGCCACTACTAATAAGAAAACCACTGTTGTGCTTTTCCTGAGGTGTGCTTTCTGAAAAAATAATTTTGTAACTTTATTAAAGAACATTCCTGCATTGTTCTTGCAAAGTGATACTAAAACTAGATAAAACTTGTTAACTATTATTTTAACTTAACTAGATAACTGAAACTTTCATTCCTGGCTTAAACCACAGTTCAGTGTTACAACATTTGCAACTGGCTGATAGTATATTCTTTAAATGTGAATTCACATGTATTGTACAAAGGCGGCTCTTCTGGTACCAGCAGAAGGGCTGTTTAGAGTTCGGTGCCATGGTCTGTGAAATCAGGTGGGAAGGAAGCGAGGCAGCACATCTGGAAAGGGGCCCTGTCATTTGGCAGCAGCACAGTGCGCTTTGTTCTACCAGGAAGGTCAGAAGTCCCGTGTCTTCCAAGTACGCTCGGTTTTCAAAGGCGTCTTTTTCTGGTTTGCCTAAAATAACTGCCTCGTTTGATGGGGTTTTTGGCCTATGTTTTGGAGAAAACTAGTTACATCCATTTTCATTACTAAGGATTCTTGGATGCTGTTACAGAAGTCGCCTCTATAAATACTAATTTGATCTGAAAAATGGAGGATTATAGGGAGAGAATCCTCTTGATATGTGTGTTAGTTAGGTCTGTTCATAAAGTTCTATATTGCTGTAGTAATAAACTTCAACTTAAGAGAATCTTACAGTCAGATCAGAAGAATGTTTTAGCATGGATCCTTAATCTTACGAAAAAGAGCTGGGCTTGAAATTTTAAAAATAGAGAAATCTCCTTGAAGTAAGGATTAGGAATATGCTTAAACCACCGGAGCCATTTTTCTTTGAATGTCAGCCTTTTTATCTCAGCTTCTTGGCAGACTGCTACACTGAGTGGTGGTGATGTCTACTTTCCTGTTTGCTGCTTGGTTGTGTTTCTAACTGAATGCCTCTCTCTTTTTTAATTTCTGTGGCAGCATCCCTTGCTCCTCCTCCCCCCTCCATCCTACAGGTAACTCCACAGTTACCGCTAATGGGATTTGTGGCCAGAGTTCAAGAAAACAGTAAGTTTGCTGCTTCCTTGTGCTATGATTTATTACTGGATGTGGCTTTTGTTGTGAGTGGATGAAAGATTTGTCTGTATATAGCCCGAATTCTGCCTTCTCTACTGTCTCTGCAAGTTTGTCTGAAATTGTGAAGGGAGGGAAAAGGCAATCTGGAGGAACCTGACTTTTCCTTCTCTGAATTTTATTGTCTCTTGTATTTCCACAAGTTCTAACTATTGGTCCCTGTGCAACTAATTGGGATAGGGAGTATTTCTTCAACCTGCTACCATGGCTCTAGAGACATTTTCATGGTTATACTGTTGCTTGTTTTCAGTTTCAGATACTCCTCCCCCACCACCGCCTGTGGATGAGCCGGTGTTGGATGAATCTCCACCTCCACCCCCACCTCCAGAGGATTATGAGGAGGAGGAAGCAGCTGTGGTGGAGTACAGTGATCCATATGCTGAGGAGGACCCTCCTTGGGCACCAAGGACCTACTTAGAAAAGGGTAGGTTTAGAGCTAAGCAAGATGGCAGGGTAGAGTTTGTAACAACATTTTGTATAAGCTCCTGCCATCCTACATTGGACACAGTCTGCCTTAGACGCCTTTGTAGCCAGTGTTTGGTATTGTAGTAGAGGTGCTCCTCCAAATGGCACCTTAAAGAGCGAAAGTTAAGCTATTCTTCTGAGTCTGACCCTTTCACCCCCTTCTCCACAAAGGGAAGACAAAGATTAGCTGGCTAATTACATATTTTTTAAATCCTCTGTAATCTACTTAAGACTCGCCTTTCAGCAGCTTAATCCTAATAATCAAACTCATATGAGGTCAAAAATGAATGAATCAGTGCTGCAGTTGCACTTGAACTTTGAACACATGGGTGCATCTGGAGAAGTGCTGCAACGTGTGTTTGGGGCTCTGGAAGCTGCAATGCTTGTAAGTGTGGGGCCGTGCTAAGCTAAAAAGCGCTGGGTCTGTGTAGGACTGACTGAGGCATTGCTGCGTGGCTGCATCTAGACATCTTCCAGTTCTGAAGCAGGCATGTGGAAGCATGCTGGAGTAAAACTACAGGTAAAATAAACTGCGTAGGTAGATGGCTTAGGGGCACTTGAATATGAAAAAAAATTACTGCCTGGTGGTGTCCTGTGAAACAGGGTCATCTGCCTCTTAGCAAAGGGTGATATAAAATCTGATGTTGCAAAGCAACCCAGGCATCTGAGCCTAGGGACTGTTAGACACGCTCAGTCTGCATCAGGGAAAAAAAATCAATCACAAAGATAAACCCAGTGCAGGACTTGAGAGGGAGAGGTGGGGAAAGAAGATGGAAGAGGCACTTTCTGCCAAATCCAGCCCAAAGAAAATATTACTATTCCTGAGGGAGACGGAGGAATATCTGGGAGTTTTTTGTTATTCCCCCACCCTCCATCTAGCTGGTGCAAGTGCTTGCTGGAAGGAGTACCCAGGCTTTGCTGGTAAGTTGAGGCCATTTGTCAGACAAAGTGGCTGACTTGCCGGGTGTTTACATGACTCACTTTACCTCTTGACCTCTCCACACCCCTGATTGACAGCAAGTGTCACTATTATTCTGTTGATGCACACAGGCTCTTTGTTTGATTAAAAGTTGCTTCAGCTTATTCTTGTCAGGGAAGCTTATTTCCACGAGGGAGGACAGGGACAAAAGGGACCTCATATACAAAGTACTCTTCTTGCTGCGCAGTTTGGAGGGTATTGGTCATTATTGATACTAGTTACCTGGCTTCACAAAATCAGGTTTTGGAGTGGGGTGGGGTTCTTGATGTTGCATTTCTTTCTTTGGGGGAGAATGGCAAATTTCTTCAGAAATACTGGATGTGCTACCTTACCTAGTGAACTCCTCCTTGTCAGGCAGGTCCAAGAATGCAAAGTTTTTGCTCAGTTTCATTGTGCTGGATGGACATTGCAGGTGTGTTATTTTTTGATAGGAGAGTGAGTCTCAAGATTTTTCTCTGTGTTTTTCCAGGCATAAGGCACTCTTTAGCCTAATTCCACATTCTATCGCTATCTCTGTAATGTTTCTGTTATTTCTGCCACCTGGCCCTCAGCAAATCCTCAGTGGCATTCCAGCTAGGAGCAAAAGAGAAAAAAAGAGGACCCTGATGTGCATTGTCTGTTTATAGTGTCTCGTACAAATGCAAGGGGGTGTGTGGAACAGAAGCCACAAAATCTTTGAATTATAGCATACTGTTCTGATCTGCTTTTCTGTGACTTCTATGGGCTTGTGAACTAAAATAATTAATATAGGTGTCTATATGCACAGATCTGTTCCATCTCAGCAGGCAGTCCGGGCGCTTGTAGTTTGATATTTACAGGGCAAACCACGTGGGACAGCAGAACTGTAATGGGAGTCTTTAAAGGCTGGAGAAAGTCAGGTGTTCAGACAGAACATTTTGCAGAAAAGCAAAAGTATAGGCAGCCAATGATTCTCTTGTATTGATGTAGAGCCCCATGCAAAAACATAATTTTGATCTGCATGTTGAAAACTAGATGACTAAAACAACTAAATGGTTGGTCTGCTCTTAGAAACACTCATAAAAGTAAGAAAAAAATTAGTGCTTACAGTGTATGAAGAACTGTTACCGTAGTAGTTTTAGGATACCAGAAAAAATGAGATACTGATATAGGTGTGAATTCTGTTGCAGTTGTAGCTCTGCTTACAGTCAGCTGTGTCTTGAGATTTGACTGCTTTGCTGGAGTGGGAGAGAAGTGCTTGGCTGTGGTTTTTTTTTTTTTTTTTAGTAAACAAGCTTTAAAGTTAATGAAAAGCCCCATGCTAAAAGAGGACTTCCTTACTCAAAGAATGTGTATACTTATCCTACTGTGAACTAATAATGCTTTATCTTCTGCAAAATAATGATTCCTATGGCAACTCCTTCTGTTCCTATAAATAGTATTCTGTGCCACGTGATTCAAAGTGGACAAAACTGATGGAAGGAGGTGTCAGATGCAGAGGGTTGCTATGTACTGAGATGGGATTCAGCATGATCCTGTTCTGTGAAGGGGTCCTGCAGTGTGGGAGGTATATTTAACATGAAGAGATACTCTAACCTACAGCTGAGGAACGAAGTGAATAGCAGATTCATTTTGAACAGATGGAGAAACTCTTAGGTAGGATACAGTGATTGGGGATGCTGAGCGTGAGGTCGGTACCACGTGGCTGTAATAGCAACAGCCAACCAGCGATGTCCAGGGAAGCGCGCTGCAGTTTTCCATTGAGCTGTGGGTCTGGGTGCGTGGCATGAAAAGGTAAGCAAATGTCCCAACTTTGCAAATCAGATGAACAGAAATGGGGTATCCAGAAGGAAAAATTGCCTCATACCACATAGAGAAAGTGTGTGGTCACAGCTATCAGATGTCAGTTGGGTAATCAGTCTGGCCTACACTTGTGGTCGTTTTGATGTAACAAGAGTTCAGCCAAACTCTGTGTAATTGTTGAAGAACCAAAGATCACTGACTGGAAGAATATCAACCTAAATGAGTAATTCTGTTTTTCATATCTGCACTGAAACGTGTTCAGATAGAAACTAAAAGAGTCCTGGCTCAGTCTCGCAGGGAAGGATGCCACCTCCTGAGTCAGTGTTGCTGCTTCCTGTCTCATCTGGAGCCTTTTCTGCAGTCCTGGCCTGGGCTCGTGGTAACTCGTGGTATGTGACACGCTCACAGCTTGAACTGCTGGGGCTACAGACAGAAGGAGTTTGATTTAGGTCTTTTAGAGAGAGGAACATTGCCAGTACAAAAGTAACATGTAGGAGGAAGCAATGGTGATGTAAAAACAAAATCAGCCTTCAGGTAATTTTGTAAAAGGCTTAACGAGACAATTTTCATCACAAGCTTAGGGAAGAGTTTCCTGCTTGTGATTGTGAAATAATGAATCCATTCACTATCAGAAGGGACTAGGATACACTCAGAAATGAGACAGAAAGGAATTTGGAATTTACTGTGATCCGTGGATGATTATTATCAAGAGAACGAAGAACAACAGCAGAGTGAATCTAGGAAGAAATGTTTTTAAATGAACAGGTATAGAAGACAGTTAAAAAGGAATTTTGAAGGCCTTTAATTGAGTGTGTCACGTGTTCATATCATGACTTTTTCAAGCTAAAAATTTACTCATTTCTTTGTGTTTTGTTTCCTTAGAATGGTACGTCTAAAACCAGTTAAAATGCGTTACTTAACAACTGTGCTGGTATAAGTGTAGAGCCAGCAACATGTGTTTTTTGAATATGCTCTGGGCAAATGATACAAATACAAATCTCCTGTTTGGGAGATGTATTTTTAAAAAAATTTCTCTGTACATACTCTTGATTCTCCAGTGGGATTGTTTTGTATATTTTACTTTGTAATCTCTTCAGGATCCAGGTTTCCCTAGTAAATATTTGTATTGATTCCTTTGCTCCCTCAAAAGGAAATGACCTCTTTTCTTTTGAAAAGAGTAATGAGTTTAGTAGGACTCTTGGACACTGTGCTCATGAACACATGCTGTTAATTTTTTTTTCTCCTTGCTTTGTTTTAGAGTATCTTCCCTCCTCTCCCCAGTACAGGATTTTAGGATCTCTGTCCAACATCCATTTTGTTTCGATGGCAGCGCTGCGTGTTTCATTGCCAAGTGCTCAAAGCAGTGACTGATGCTATTTGCTAAAGTGTTCAGGTCCAGCATAGCTAATTTTCTGTATGGAACACATAATGATAGGACTGAGAATGGAAAAACATATCAAGTTGACGTCTATTTTCTGCCATTTCAGGACAATGCTCGCTTTAATATTTGCCAGTGCTTTGTCCAATTTCTTCGACTTTCTGAACAGCTTTCATGCCTTCAGTAAAACACTCTGCAGCTGTAAGAAAAATGTCCTGATACAGTAGGCATACATTTTGTTTCAGAGAACCACTTTACTTCTTCCTAGCTCCTAGCTGGGATGTGTCCATCTTGGTGTACACCCCAGGAGTGACTTCTGGCTACTGGGGCTGCACGTACACATTTTACAGGTTTTAACATGGAGGTAGCTAAGGTAGATGGACGTCTGGGACGTTAGCCTTGGCTCATTCTTACTGTGATCTGAAGAGAGCTCCCACAGCTCTCCCTCTTTTTGCACACATACCCAATACATTAATCTTGGAGTTGGTCTGAGTGGTCATAGCCATGGGGAGTTACATCCACCTCCACACCAAAAGTTTATATTTGTAAATTTTTCCTCTGGTGGGTCTGGAAATAGTCAGAAGAGAAGAGTTAAAGTAGGCCTGGCTCATGTGCTTCAAAGCATCAGCTCTTACAAAGGGGTTGGAAGAAAGCGCCCCTCTCAGCAGGTCGTTCTGCACCCACAGAGGCAAGGCAGTGCGGTTCTCTGCGACTGCCTTAAATGTAGGCAACTCTGTACCAGGTAGGTTGATTTTTCCTCCTCCTCCCTGTACCTCTCCTAACAGTCATGCTCTGTTCTTTCCTAGTGGTGGCAATCTATGACTACACGAAGGACAAAGAAGATGAGCTCTCGTTTCAGGAAGGTGCCATCATTTATGTCATCAAGAAAAATGATGACGGCTGGTATGAGGGCGTCATGAATGGAGTGACGGGGCTCTTCCCAGGGAACTACGTGGAGTCAATCATGCATTACTCGGAGTGAAGACTAGAGGACAGAACACTGCATCTCCTGCTGCAGGAGCTGTCAGGGCTCCCCAGAACTCCACCCG